AGGAAGGAAGGAAGGAAGGAAGGAAGGAAGGAAGGAAGGAAGGAAGGAAGGAAGGAAGGAAGGAAGGAAGGAAGGAAGGAAAAAATAATGTCCATACAAATCATTAAGAGACAAGCAGCTTTCAAAAGTGCCATTGAATTCATTTTGTACTGGTCACCTACTGCTGAGTATGGCCTCTGTCCTTAGGAGTGTTTTGTAAGAGAGGGACCTGGGGCAGAAGGGGACCCAAGCCAGGCTTGTGTTCGGTGTCTTGGCGGGGCTGGGGTTCCAATGTGGTCCCCGGGGGCGAGTGGCCCAGGCCCCAACTGGGGGGAGACCTGGCAGGCCTTCTGCCGCCCGAGTGGGAGGAGGATGAGGAGCTCATGTCTTTCCTGTTCTCCGCCTTCAAGAGGAGTCGCGAGGTGAACAGCACCTACTGGGACAGCAGGATGGGCTTCTGGGCGCCATGCTGAGCCATAGACACCGCCAAGGGATAGTGGGCCCGAGTCTGCGGGACTTGCAGAAGGCCTTCCACCGCAAGGGCAGTGTCCCAGTGGGGCTGGCCACGGTGCTGCAGGACCGGCTGTCGAGGCGAGCTGCAGCAAGAATCAGACTTTTATGGCCAGTGTGGACAACAGCTGGATCTCCTGGGTGGTTGTTGGAGTCTTCCAGCTGAAGCCCCTCAAGTGAACTCTTTTTAATATGCTGGGGGATAACAAAGTTCCAGCTGAGGAGGTGCTCGTGACTGTGGAGCTGCTTAAGGAAAAGGCTGAGGAGTTTTATCGCTTGTACCAGAACTTGCCCCTGTCCTCCCACCCTGGGGTGGCCCTGTCAGAGCTGAGTACTCAGTGTGTCACTCCTGCCCAGACGAGAGGACCTTCTACCCGGTGCTGCGGCAGCTGCAGAAGAGTCACGGTCTTGGAACAGAATGGAGAGAAGATTCTGTCTCCTGTCAACGATGTGGATATTGGGGTCTACCAGCTGATGCAGAGTGAGCAGCTTCTCTCTCGAAAGGTTGAGTCTTTATCCCAAGAATCTGAGAGGTGCAAAGAGGAAGCCCGCCAAGCATGCCGAGCTGGAAAGAAGCAGTTGGCACTGAGGTCTCTCAAGGCCAAGCAGAGGACAGAGAAACGCATTGAGGACCCACACGCCAAGCTGGACACTGTTCAAGGCATCCTGGATCGCATCTATGCTTCCCAGAAAGACCAACTGGTTTTTAATGCTTACCAAGCTGGTGTAGGAGCCTTGAAAATCTCCATGAGGGATGTCACAGTGGAGAAGGCAGAGAGCCTTATGGACCAGATCCTGGAGCTGTGTGATATGCAGGATGAAGTTTCTCAGACTGGCTGGCAGGGTAACCAATGGTTTAGATTTTGCCAGTGAGGAACTGGAGAAGGAGTTGGACATCATCCTTCAGGACACCACGAAAGAACCTTTGGAACTTCTCAACAACCCCTATAAGACACTTTATACCAATAGTGTGCCTAAGCCTAAGATCTTCGGTGCTGAACTTAAGGTTGAACTTGAGAAACTGTCCTTATCAGAAGAAGGTTTGCAGGTCCTAAGCAGTAAATCTCCAAAAAGGCAATTGGAGCCGACTTTCTAAAGCTATTGCAGGAATTCAAGGGAAGGACCCTCGTGTAAAAGAGGGACAGCCTTGTGTGTGTACATAGTTTTTTAATGAGACCCACTGAGAAGTTGTTAAGAGGAGGAAAGAACCACTTGAAAGTATCTGGATGCTGCCACTCCTGACAGGACAGATTCGGCTCCTGGAAGCCATGCTGTGAAGGTGTGCTCCCAGCTGCTGTCATGGACCTCCCTTCTCGTCTTTATAGTGCCACAATTTATACAATTCTGTGTATGACCGTCGTCTCTGATAGCCTGCAATTCTCGCCATTGGGTCCGTTAGGTTTGTCTTCACCCACCAGCTTCGTTCCAGCCAGTGAAGGTGAAAGGTTCGCAGCTTTGCCCATCAGAGCCAGCCCTGTCTTCCACTCTTGAGGTTTTTAAAACAAAATTTTGTTATCTGCAATGCCATTTAAACTTTTCCCTGTCCTCTGCTTTGTTGGAATTAAGAATGAGAGTCAAACAAGTTTTTGTTTTTTTGTTTTTTTTTTTTTTGGTTTTGTTTTGTTTTGTTTTTTCGAGACAGGGTTTCTCTGTGTAGCTTTACGCCTTTCCTGGAACTTGCTTTGGAGACCAGGCTGGCCTCGAACTCACAGAGATCCGCCTGCCTCTGCCTCCCGAGTGCTGGGATTAAAGGCGTGTGCCACCACCGCCCGGCGAGAGTCAAACAAGTTTTACTCAGAGACCTAACAGCTGAATGTCTGGAGAAACCTTGTCCACAAGATGTTTCTCTACATGCTTTGTCAAATTCTCTAGGTGTTCGTGCTCTGAATGGTTCAGGGTCATGGCAGTTGCGGGGATGGCTTGTGTCGTTGGGGGTCATAACCTCTTCCATCCTAGGCAGAAGCACATCTGCTGATGGGGTTGGGGAAAGGGTTAATCTGTCTTTTGAACCTGAGCAGGAGAAACCCAAGTCAACCCCACAGTGTAAAAGAAGCTAAGTTTTTGCTTTGGCCCCATCATAACTTATGTGTGTTTTCTGGAACAAGCCACATGGTGCCACATTTCCTGTTACTTGAGCCTGACACTCACTGCAGGCTCATTTTAGGGTCTGGAAAGCATTTTACCTATATCCAGCACTCAAGGCAGGGGGCCTGAGCCAGGATGTGCAATAGGAGGAGGTGGCCCTGACCTGTGTGCTGCCACGGGCCCTGCTCTGCCCTGCACCTGCCTCCTGCAGGCTCATCTTCTTTCTGTGAAATGCAGGGCAGGCAGGAAAGGGTAGGTCCAAATGCTCAGATGGCAGCATGGAGAGGAAAAATGACAGCCACACTGCCAGTTTGCTGTCCAGGATGATGACTGCCTGGATCTCTTTGCACGGCCCCTCTTGCCTTGAGGTAGCACAGAGCAGAGGGGGAGACTTTGCTTCCAGCCAGGAGCACGAATCACTGTTCAAGGAGTCTCTCCCACTCAGCTTTGGCGGACGAAAATATTGGGGGTGAAGAAAAACAATCACTATTTTTATTTAAATCTGGTAAATCATTAAAAGAGAAAAACACTAAAAAAAGGTGTTTTGTATATCCAATGAGATTCCATTTAAGAAAACTAATATTTGCTTTGTGAGTGGTTATCAATTAAAGATAGATTCTGAGTAAAAGATAGGGCCTTGTGTCTACTTCCCCTCTCAATTCTGGGATCCTATCTGGCTTAGACTCATGCAGGGACCAGGGACTGTGCATGTTGCCACAAGGCTCTGTGAGTTCATATGTGCATCTGTCCTGCTGTGTTTGGAAGGCCCTGTTTCTTTGTGTTCTCCATTCCCACTGGCTCATATAGGCTTTCTGCCTCCACTTCCACAAACTTCCCTGAGTCCCAAGGGGAGACAACCTTGATGTAGACAACCCATTTAGGACTGAGTGTGCCAGGTGTTTCACTCTCTGAACATGTCCACCTGTGGGTCTCTATATTTTTCCCATCTACTGTAGGAGGAAACTTCTCTGATGCTGGCTGACCAAGACACTGATCTATGAGTGATGCAGAATGTCATTAGGAGTCATCTAATTGCTACATTCCTTTAGCAGAACAGTAGTATTCAGACTTCCCTTAGGTCCATTGATGTTCTAATCTTAGGTCGTTGATTACCCGATCAGTATCAGGTATGGTTTTATCTCATGAACTAGGCCTTAGATCCAACTGGATAATGGTTAGTTACTCCCACAGGCTTTGCACAATTATCAAATGTGGTTTCACACCAAATTCTAGACCAATAGTTTTAAAAAACATCACCTTGCCACCTATCCCTTCTACCCAATCTCTAAAACCACCAAGGCATGTAATTCCCTGCTTGTGGTTTTTTCCTTTAAAACCCTCCAACCCCTGAGTCCTGGTCTGCAGCATTTCCCTCCATCAGCTGCATCAGAGCATAAGTTGGCTGCCCAGGTTCGAACCTGACAATAAAGAGATCCTTGTGTGCTTGCATCAGAATCTGACTTCTTGGTAGTCTTATGACATGGGTACAACATGTGGACTCATGTCTGGGGCTTCAATGTCTGGGACTTCAATTTAATTCCATTTATCAATGTATCTATTTTTATGCAAAAAGCCTACTGTTTTTTACTATTACAGCTTCTCACAGATCAAGGATGGTTTTATTATGATTATGATTATTATTCATGATTGTTTTTGTCATCATAGGTTTTTGTTTGTTCAATTTGTGTGTGTGTGTGTGTGTTTCCATAGGAAGCTGAAAATTGTTCTGTAGATGAATTTCTTTTTTTTCTTTTTTTGTTTTTTTGTTTTTTGAGACAGGGTTTCTCTGTGTAGCTTTGCGCCTTTCCTGGAACTTGCTTTG